AGAACTGATGTGAGGAATTGCAGTTCTAGATGGGTAATCCATTTATTCCATAACATTTGCCCTTTATCTGAACACAGCATCAGAATCAATCAATTGGGAGTGGGGGCGGGGAGGGGAGCTGATCAAGCTAAAAGAATCACAGCAGATGGACAATTGTTTTTAACCTAGAATTCATACTCATTTATGCTTTTTTTTTTTTGCTGCAAATCTTTTCCATTCTTTCTTCTCCTCCAGCTTTCTCCTCTAAAAATTCTAAAATTTGGTGATGCTGCTAGTATGACTAACTTTAATTTAGATACAATGCCCCTGAGGATCCTAAATAAAACAGAAAATAAGCACTTCAAATATCTCATATATCCACAATGCCTTCTCTGCTGTTGTCACAGATATGATTTCCAGTGAAGCAAGCAAAGCACTTTTGTGCAGCAAACCATTGCTTGACTCTAAATGTGAATTAGTTGCTGCTGAACTGTACCAGTTCCATTTAAACTGTTATGGAACAAAACAAATGTAAAAATGCAATTAAATCTCTTGAATTATTGATTTAACTGATATTATTTCTCCGTAGTTTTATTCCAGAGTTGTCTTAGAACTGTTTCCCAATAAGGAAAATGATTAAAAATCAAAGTTTTTCAAAATGTAAAATATGCATGTATGTGTGTATATTTCTGTGACGGTGCAACACATGATTGTTTATAATGCATGAATAATATAACTTGATATTTTGACAACCTCCAGCTCTTACGATTCACAGTAGTGGAGATAGTTACAAACTCTTTGGTATTTAGTGATAATAACGCTTGTGACTGATAATGCTTCTACTAGAGCTGTGCAGCACTTCAGATCTGAAGGGGGGAAAAGGGCTTTGGTTCAAGTGCCAGTGCGCTCGTTGCACCTGTATGCAATTGCTTAAATTTGCATGTCTTTTCCTGGGTGTGAAAGAATGTAGAGCTAACCTTGAGGATAGAGAAGGAATGAATGAGCCGTTCAGGGGGGATTTTAAGAAAAGATCACTCAGTCCTGAGAAAGAGGAGGGTGTGGGAAAGAAACTTAAAATAAGTCCACCTTGATTTTCTTTAGTATAAGATGGGACAGAAAGAAGCATGAGGAGGCTGTCAGGACTGATGACAGCCCTTCAAATTAGGCAGGGTCAAGAAATAGATAGTGCGGGGACTCCAGGAAGTGCTTTTTATTGTAGTAGAGTAGAATAAGGTTTCTCAACCTTGACAACTTCCAGATGTGCAGTCTTCAACTCCCAGAATTCTCCAGCCTGTATAGCCACTCCTGAGAATTCTGGGAGTCCACACATCTGGAAGTTGCCCAAGTTGAGAAATGCTAGAGTAGAATAACAATTCTCTTGCTTTCTTTGTTCTTTTTGTTTCTACGATACAGTGCACACAGATCATTCAGCTACTTTTGGCTGGAGGGGAGAAATCCAAGTGTCACCATCCCTTGTTTTATTCCTCTTCATGTGTTTGTTCTCTTAATGGGACTAATCCATTTAAACAGAACTCTTTGTATCAGAAGTGCAAAGGTATAGATGTTTTCCTGGAGGCAAGGGGAGTGTCTTTGATGTGGTCTTCAGACTTGTCCACATATATGCATTTAAGGTAAGACTATTGTTCCTCTGTGCCAGTATGGTGAGAGTGAAGAAAGGAGAGGCACCATTGTTCTCTAATTTCTGGCACATTAACTTTGGACATTCATGCCCTTATGAATTCTTGTTACTAAAAAAAATCATGGCAAATGATATCTTCTTTCACTGTTACAAGACACAGAAATAGCAATGTTATAATCAGCAGGAGATGGTGGATGAGCACAGAACTGTAGAATCCAAGGTTGTTTTTCCTTTTTTAAAGAACAGTTAGAAATACCTGCATGCAATGTTTCCTGAAGAGGGAAACAGGGAGTGACTGGAAGTTGGGCAGAGCTAATATATGGAAATCAGAGAACATCTCAATTGCTTTGCCAGTTAAGATGGCTGGTGTAGGGGGTTGATTTGAAATAAAATGCTTAAAAGGACAAAGAGTGTAGATGCAGCTCCACAAGTAATAAAAAAAGGGGAAGCAAAAAAGAACTGGTATCCAAACGCATCTATCATGTACAGCATATAGAGAAAAGCTTTTGCCACCACCATTTTTTTAAAACTAATTCCATCATCAGTCCTCTGCATGGTTAAAATTTACTCCTGATGATTACAGAGATTGTTGTTCTCTCCTTTTATTCTCTGTTCCAGCCCACTGAGATTTGCTGAAAACTTTTGGCTTAACACTTATAATCAGCAGTTCAAAATTAGCCTTGCCAGTATGCAAACTGGCAGGCGGAGCACCTCCTTCTCCAGCTGGGACTCCCCGTCAACTTCAACAGCAATTAGAATTGAAAAAAGTCCCCCACTGGCTCCAGTGGAAAGCTTTTCCCCCAAGTCTAAGTGCTGTGGGGGAGAAGGTAGTGGGATGGCAGTTTCTTGTTCCTGGCCTGATGCCTCAGTCGTCACTTGCATGCCTGTGGACCAGAAGCAAGTTCAGTCACTGCTTTCTGTAGCTGGATTTGACTTCAAGGGACGTAGGGACAAGGAAGGAGCACCATGAAGACTGTCACGCCTTCAACAATTCAAGCTGTCATTAATGCAGTAGAATAGAGAGCCAACCAGAGCATATGATAAATGAGGGCAGGGAGCGTCCAAAGTCACACGATGAAGTGACACATGCAAGGCCCCACCAACTTGCCCCATCTCTGCCCCAGTGTCCTTTGCCCACTGTATTGATGTGGACATCTCCGGGGCGGGGCGGGGGGGAGGGCGTCTCTTGCTTCTTGCTGTACAAAGCAACCTATTGAAAGACAGACACATAATTGAGGAATGTATGTATAAATGGAAAAGCTGCTTCCTGTGCATGAATCTCCCCCCTTTCCTTTTTTTTTTTTTTTTTGCAGGATATGAAGCTCCACATATTAGTTCTCAGTTTTTTTATTTAGTTTTTTTATTTATTCTAATTCCATGCCAGTTATGCATGGTGGGATATCTAATGCAACTGAGTGAAATGCACAGTAATATCAATTTATCAAATTTCGAGGCCGCCTGACTTCTGAATGACTCTGGGTGGCTTACAATTAGAATCCATCTAATATATAAGATTAGTCATATACATAACCTAGCCAGAGGTTGTATTCATAACTCTTTTCTGTAAATTCTGTAACTTTTATACTGAAGCTTGCATCCTGCTCCTATTCATGTTTATGTTTATTCCTATGCTTATCATTTATCCAAATCCATCCTTACAAACCTGTCCAGAGACTCCAGATGGAGTAGGGTATGGATTTAGTAAATAAATCGATACCCATAAACTACACCCCAATCCAACTACCTGTACTTGTTTATACACATAATCTCTGTTTATCCCCAGCTATGCATATACTGTTCTCCTGCCCCATGCATTGTTCAACCAGCTGTGCTCCTTCCAGCTATCTTGCAGACTGGTTATCCTGGTGCTACTCCCACCGCCAACCCTCTGCCTCCCTATCGTACAGTTAGGCAGGTGCACATGTTCAGCCACTGCTTTGTAACTGGTGCCTGGCAGCAGCTGGACTAAGATGGAGGAGCTAATGGACAAGCATCTGGCACAGCTCTTCTTACTGCCAGGAGCGCTGCCTGCTAAACAAGCATGTCCCTGCTGCATCGCATCTCTGCTGCTCTGCTATTACCAAGCTGTTCTGTTTCCTCCTCATCTTTTGGACCAAAAGGGGAGGTGGTGGACAGCTGAGCAGGATGAACTGGGGAGGGAGCAATGCGTTTTCCCTTTCTTCTCTCTTCCTAGCCAGGAACTGATTCACAAGAACATTAGGTGCTGCCTCGGGGCTCAACATTTGAGGCTGGAGCCAAGCCAAAACCAAAGAATTTCATCCAAACCCAGAGCCTCCATGTGGTATTGATGAGAAAGCTAACTTCTATTGTGGATGAATAGAGCTGATATGTTTGTTTTTGTACAGTTAGATTTCTGTATACAATAATGAGAAAAGATGAGCACATTTTGCTTATATCATTTTAGATATTTGCATTTGGGGGTGGCAATTTATTCTGGGTTGGAGGCCACAAGATAGATTTTTGTCTGGTGGCAGGTCAAAGATTTTCTGGTGATGCAATGGTATCACTGGGGAGGATGAGACTGAACATTTCTGGCTAATTTTTTTTTGCTTGATCTGGAGACTTGGGGAGAATTTAAGGGTGGAGATGGGAGATTTTGTGTTCCCATTCCTACCCCAAAACACAATCCCCCAAAAGAGCAAAAACCATACCCCCCCAAATTAAAGTCAAATGTAGGCAGTGTCATTTTAGGGTGTTTGGAGGGGACCATAAAGGGGAGGCTGTAGGCTGCCCACCCTATGTTATATAAAGGTGTGCAATTTTGTTATACAGGATAGCCAATAATGTGTAAATTCTGTTCTTCCCCTTTAAAGTTGTTCACATCAAAGTCTATAATTGAAGTGCTGTAATGTACAAAGTGTGTTTGTTTGCACGTCATCCAGCTTTCACAACTGCCCAACACTATTTTTATGCTCTATGACAGGTAGTATTTCTTCAGCTGTTTCCCCCCCCTTTGCCTTGATTTCTGGCTATCAGCCAAGTGGATACAATTCTCTTCAGGCAGTTAATTACTCTACATCTCTTTTAGAGCAATGACAAAAATTAGATATCGTTGCTATATGCCTCTTCCCAGTAGGAAAAAAAACCCCTCAGGTTTCAAGCAGGAAGAAATAATATTCAGCGTTAATATTATCAACAGCAGCAATGCTATTAAGTAATAAGGTTTCTCTTTTACATCCACATTTCTAAAAGTCTGGTTTGTTGTTTTAATTAACATGAAAAGTTTTTTTTGGCAGACTGAAGCCTCAACCTGAAGTTTATTCAGTAGAGAGTATTATAGCTGCAAAATTTCTAATGTTACACAGCAGTGTAATGATTTAAAGTAGAATGATTTAAATATCAAGGCAATCAAATGGTTCAACTGATTTTATTTAGAATGGGTCCAATGCAATTTTCCATTTGAGTTCCACATTTCAGATTCACCCTTTGTATTCCTCAGAACATTATATTAAGTCTTAAAAACCTGTTTAATATAAGAAGGAATGTGAATCCTTAGTACCTGCTGGACATTTACATATGATTCTGACACGGGACTCAAATGTACTTGTTTTTTTATGTTGGGAAAGGAAATCCAGGCATGCAAATAATCCTAAAGATGCCTCATTTTTTTTAAAAAAAATCTGACTTAGCTTTTGTAACAGGTCTATCATTTCAAACTGAGTACCATGCATTTAAGGTTAAGTCTTCTGCAATCTACTTTTGGCCACTGCAGAAGTAAACAGAAAAATATGCTCATCCTACTGGGAAGATGAGAATTATTTGGCCACCAATTTCCTTGCAACCTCTTGCTCATGGGCTCATTCCACTTCTACCTGACCTTCATGGGATCAGACTGGTTTTACTGGTGAACAACTGCACTCCACATATCACCACAGCTAGCACATTTTGACCAACGGAGTGCTTTTTGTTTTAAATACTAGACTTTGTGTCTTTGCTAGAATTCTGACTTTTTTTTATGAACAAAAGGTCATGTTACAGAGCACAAATGAGGTCTAAAATTCAGCCACAGCAGACCACAGCTCCACAGAAAACACATCTTCAAGGTAGGTTGACCTGCTTGAAAAAAGAGATTAAAAACAGCACAGCAAATATGGATCTTCAATGCAATGCTTCCCTAATTAAATATGAACGGCTTCATTTCACATTTAAATGAACTAAGCAACAATGGATGGAATTTCCACTATCACCAGTTGTTGTTGCTGTGCCATGGGAAAAAGCAGGTGACAATGTGGCTCAGATGGAAGAGGGCGACAAGGTCGACAGGGGCCAGTGATACAATCTCAGCATCTGCACTAAAGTGACGTAAGATGATCAACTGATCATTCACCAGTTTCAAAATATAATCTTCTACAGCATTTCCTTTCCTTCCCTTTGTAAACAGATCTGCTCATAAATAATTTGGATGTCTCCATGACATTCATGATACTTAACAGAAGCTGAAGTAGAAAAGGATGGATGTGGTATACAGCATCGAGAAAATGTCAAAAAGTACTTCATTTTTGTGGTTGTGTTGTTTAGTGTCTGATGAGTGGGTTGCAAGTAGTATCAGCCGTCGGACACGGGAGGAGTGACCCACCCATATTTTTCATGGGTCTTCACCAAGCTCTTAAAAGTTGCTTCGGCTTCCTTACGGCTAAAGGACTTTTTTGATTTTCCAGCTTTTCTGCAGATGCGGCCCTGAATGAAAGAAAGTAACCAAGAGAAGAAAATCAGGAATCTGGTAGATATACATGTGCCATTCCACAGATACTGACAATAGTACCACAGTTCATTAGTTACTGGGGCTCGCCCATCTACAAAACTTCTGTTTAAGCCAAATTTCTGAGAGTTTTGTTTTTACCACAAAATTCTTTAGTCCTCTCACCTGTTACCATCTGTGATTTTTGCTCACTTCTGCCTTAGGAAATGCATGGGAGAACAATTATCCACCACATTTACTTTCTAAGCATTCCACAGAGCTATTATTATAAATAGAATGCTAGAGGCTGTTATTTTACTTTGTACTATGCCGGTCTCCTATTTGCATATTTTGAAATCCAAATACATGAAATCAGGTGGAAATACACCCTGTTGCCTACCTCTTTTATAGACTGCCTTGTGTTGTTATTGCACAATTGTCAGAGACTATAAGGAGAGAATCAGGTGGAAACAACACAGTAATTTAGAACTTTAAAAAGCATTTTACCCATCTTTCTAAAAAGGCATTAATTCATAGCTCTACCACCTGTCTTGAAAGTCTTCCTTAGAGAAAAGAAGACGTCACACCCCCAACAGTCTTCTCCAGGCCTCCATGTCTCTGCTTCGATGTCACGATATCCACTCACCTAACACCCATGTTACATCTGCTAGTGACTCACTCAACATCATTATTTCTCCCATGGAATGTAGGAAGAGTGGTAATAAAAGCATTATCCCCTTCTTGCTCCTCCAAAATTGTACTGGGGGAAGGTAAAAGTCTTTAAAATATACTATTCTCCTTTACACTCAGGAACCCCACAATTCTGTGTGCAAATGCTAGGGAGGGGAGATGTTGGCTTCTTAAATCTTTGGCCACTCCTAGAGGGCAGGGTAAGGCAGTTTTATTCGTAGAATGGGAGACTATGCAAAAGACCCACAGTTGGAAAGATAACAACAAAAACCATCTTTATTCTTTGCATTTTCTTCATCCCTTGACAGCTTTGTAAGCCATAGCTAAAGTTCTAAGCTAGGTTACATGACTTTGAAAAAAAGTAAGTTAGGAAATAGAAGCAGAGATTCGGGGAGCACCTTCTGTGAACTTGGAATGTTCTCCCTTTAAATAAACAAAATGTGCAGAGCAAAGAATAATTCCTTGGGGTGTACCCTAAAGCCTATAGTTGAGCTGTGGGGGGGAGGGGGGAAGAGGTCTATTTTACTAAAATGTTGCCACTTTCCAAAAGATACACCCATTCCCCTGTTTTGATTATTTACTGGGCCCAGACAGCTAATTCTGTATTCATTTTCTAATTTTTGCTTTTTATAACTTTTATTTGTTCAAATCACATACATGATCAATATGAATCACCAAGTTTTGTTCCAGAACAAAGATGGGCAGAGTGGTCTACTTTGTTAAAGAACCACTTAGCTCTCGATGATTGCTGGACTTCTTATTAAAGAGTACTGGTTTAGGTGAACCTTAGTCTCAATCTGTAAGTATATATTACATTCCTAAGCAAGTGTGCATACTCAGGATCATTTAAAACAGTTTAGTTATGCCTTAAATGTTAAAAAGTAAACTTACCTTGAAGCTGAGTTTAATTCCAGGTGACTTACACGGGCACATTCTTGGAAGTTTTCTTGGCATGATATGGCAATGGCTTGCCATTGCCTTTATTCATGATTTTTTAAAAAATCTTAAATCAAGCCTGCAGCCTTTGGTGTTTATTCCCTTACTAACTAGGGCCAACCCTGCTTATCATTCTTGATCAGCTAGCATCAGACAGATGCTGCCATTTGGTACAGCAGCTAAAACATTAAGACACTTGAATATAAAGATTTAGAGCACCCCAAATATGAGATGTAGAATACACATGCATTTTTCTGTAGAGAGGGACATCTTAAAAACACTAGACTGAACTCAGCAAATCCCAACTCTAGATTAGAGTATCCTAAAGTCCTATTGTTTTTCTATACAAACTAAGTCTTAGCAGGAGGCAGCACTTGGACAACCTTGTTTGAGTTCTGAAACTAAGCAGGGCTGGGCCTGTTTAATACTTGGGTGGGAGGTCTCCAGAGAATACCAGAGGTGTAGGCTAGACTGGGAAATCCAAAACAAAAAAAAATCATTCTGGACAAAGGCAAAGGCAAAGGCAAACCACTTCTTATTGCTGCCAAGAATACTACATGGATATGCCCATGAAGTCACCAGGAGTCAAGCTTTACTTGAAGGACACTTTATTTGATACATGTACACTATTTTATTTTTGTACCACTTAATTGTCATGTCTCCTTCAAAGAAACTTCAAACTGCTGTTTGCTAGAATGCAAGAATTTTGTAATGATCCCTGGCATCAGAGGGCTACATTAACCAGAATTCCCTGAGGTAAGAGAATCCAGTTTAGGTCTAAGGTTCAGTCATGCTTAGTATATCTGTACAGAGGAAAGATGTCCAGGGACACGAATTTCCGAAAGGAAAGACAGAGGTAGGAGGCAAAGAGAAGAGACAAAGTAAGCAAGCAAGGAACTAAAGAGTTTAAGATAAAGTTAAAAGCCAGTTTATTCATCTAGCAAATTGGAAATGTCATACACACATGCACACAAAACTACCACCTGCATGAGGCAATATCCTACATGAAGTCTAGTGGAGAAAATAAATCTAACAATCAAAATGGAGACTACCCCTCCCACCCCAGACTTTTGGATATGACCAGGGTCAAACCCAGTTCATCTCTCCCTAATCCTATCAGACCCAAATTGACCCTCCCTGCCCCAGAGAAAGCCCCCCCCCGCAATCCCATCTAAACCAAAGAACAGAAGCCTCCTCGCCAGCTCACAGCCCAGCCCAAGGGCAGCACTAACAAAGGAACTGCAACCTGGAGAACCCCCAACCTTCCATCCTCCATCAGCCGATGACCTCAACAGTCCATCTCCTTCACAATGGACTTCCTCAGGTCTGCTGCCCGCCGGAAAGGCTCACTTCGCCTAACAGTAGAACACCCCCTGCCCAGGCACACTGACAAGGACCTGCCTAGCTTCCCCAAACTGACCAGCCAACAGGTCCCCAGGATTTCCCACCTTGTAGCCCTCAACTTCTATAAAAATCTTTGCTTTTCCATTGTTTGGAAAGTAAGCACCCAACGATCAACATGGTTCTTCTCCTCAGTGTTGTGCTCCTTCTTCAGACTGAATCCACAACAGAAGTTATTTCACACAAAAATGCATTCCTAATTTTTCACCAAGTTAGATAATTGTGAGTCAGACATTTCTAGCATTCTACTACAATCTTCTTCCTGCCCATTCCTGGATTACAGGACTGTGGTCCTTCTTCTCCTGGCATTGGTCTTATGAGAAGCTTTAGTTTAACAGAAGCCTGTGTGAAACTCTGGACTTATAAAACCACTTTGTCTCTGCTTGCTTCTTGATATCTCAGGATCTCTATGGGTCTTTCCTAACTACTGAATTAAATTATTGTCCACACATCCTTGAATTGGCAGAAAGCAATACTAGCATGAAATTGCTATCCTCATTGCGGATCTATTGCCTGGGAAGAGTCACCTCACTCCCCCAGCACCACCACCACCACCAGATAATAAGCAAAAAAGCCTAATAGATTTATACCCCTTGAGGTTGTGCTTAAGGGGTTGGAATAAGGGGGGAAATACTACTTTAATAACAGTACAGCTTATAATGACTTAAGGCTGTTTCCCTAAGGGCTGGAGATGAGATAAAGGGAATGTCATGGAAATGTGGGAGAAAACTCCTGTTGTCAAGGAGCAAGTGTGTCGTGGGTAGATGGAAGTGGGGACACAGCCCATGAGTGACTCAGAATATGTAGTGAAATGAATTAGTACTTGTGTTTATATGTTAACATCTTTCCCACCCCCAGCTGAAAGGAGAGAGACTAATAAAGAAGCAAACATTGGTTAGATACAGAAGGAAACTGAGAGAAAAGGAATGGTAGAATGGAAGGCAGCTTTGCAGCTCCCTATCTTTGGGGACCTGCACAGGGAAGTCTGCTGCCCTGTTAACAAATGCTATGAACTTCCTGAAGAAGTTTACCACTCAGCAAACACTTCTTTTAACCATGCTGGGTTCATACAATACATAATCCTAGGCTAAAAACATTGTGTTTTACCAACAATACTTTAATGACCAGATTCCAACTTCATACTAGGCCAAAATCAAACAAACCTCATCAAAAGTGACAAATGCTGTCAAGGACTCGTTATCCTTCTTAGAACTGCCATTTGTACTTGGTGGGAAAAAAATAATAATCAGTTTATAATAACTGCTCGTTCATGGCATCTACAGTCGGCTTTCTTTTTCAAAGTAGTGGCTAGAGTAACTGACCTGTGTTTGCGTTTCTTATGAGTTATTTCATTGACTGGAAACATTCTGCCTCCTGGTGTACTGGGAGCAATTTACTGAAAGTATCATTTCCAGCAAATTGCAAAATAATCTGCTGTGAAAACCCTGGAAAAAACCCTACAACAATTGCTCTGACTTTGGGGTACATGGACTGGAGGAAGAACTCATCAGTGCTCAGGAGGATTTTAAATTTACTGACTTTCTAATTTTGGCCTCTGCTCACCAATACTTACATGTCCCTTCTATCACGAAGTTCTTTATGGGAAAAGTACTTGTTTCACAAAAAGCATATATGTTTCCTTTTCTATATGGCTTCATAAATCCCCTGCCCTCTGCCGAAGAAATGAATTTCCAAAGCTTTTTGTTTAGATTTCTGTCTAGGCCAGTGCTTTTCAACCTTGGCAACTTTAAGATGTGTGGACAAAGGGATTATGAAATAGTAAGATTTTGATAATAAAATACTATGTTGAATAAGAAAAGACCTGGACTTCAGCATTTAAGCAATTCTTGAAAATAGAGGACTATATTGCATAGAAAAAGTCCATCCTTTACTCATCTTAAGTACTTCACACATACATATGTAGATATATATTGGAAACACAAAGCCCCTCTCTTTGATTTACTGTATTAGT